ATTGCCACTGGTCTTGTGACTCCCTTTTGATTCGTCCACACACACCACTGTTGTAAGAGGCTGCTTCCTCCAAAGTTGACAAAGTGTCAATAATCCCAGTATGTGTTGGCATCACCATCCCTCTGCAGACCATGTTCCATCACTGCTGAGCCACTTGGTGTGCCCCAGAAGTGTGTGCTTAGCTCTGAACAAATAATGTCAGGCCTGGTGTCATTGTTAGTCAAAAAAGACCAGACACTGCAATGTGACACTCCCCACACCCTTGGAATATGCATTCCTCATGGTATATTAGTACACATGTCCTGTGGATGATGATAAATCATAGAAATCATTTCCCTATTAGTCACAAATATTAATAGTGGCTCAGAGATGTTGCAGTTCCATGTGGTTGTTTGTTCTTGTGCCACTTCAAACCATATTTTTCTTAGTGCCTCAAGTCAGATTTGTGTGTGTTTTTTCACATGATCTCCCAAGTTTTGGTCAAATCCAGTTAATATTTCCCAAGAACTGGTGAGCTGGGAGACTGAGGGAGATGAACACGCAGGGCTGTGAGTAATATTATGTGTCCATCCAAAGCTTGGATTAACTGCAGCATAAGATTTGAAGCAAGACCTGAACTTCCATATAATAACTCAACCCCTTGAAGCATTTGACAGGACAATTAGCCTGGGGATATTATGGAATGTGAAATATCTATCAGATTTCTTCCTCTTTGGACCAATCTTGAACCATCATGGCTATGAAACATGAGCCATTGCCACTCTGAATTTCCAGTGGGAAAGGGAACGTGCTGAACCATTCTTTGATAATTCCATTGGTACCTCCCAGATAGACAGACCACTGTAGGTTTCTGAGCAGTGCCTGAAGGTGACACTGTACCCTTATGAACTACTTCTGGGAGGTGGGAAGGTCCCCTCATGATCACACTCTATCCTCTCTTTATCTGGTCTGCCTGTTTCACAGGGAGACCAGCCCTTTTCAAGATTGGAGCACCTCATTTTGGTGTCACTGAAAGAGTGGGTGCCCAACTCCAGTGGTGTCTCCACCCCTCCTGGCCCCTTTTGCCACAATGAGGCCCATGCCCACTGCATCCCCATTCTATGTGAATAAGGTCAGCTGGGTGTATGGGACAGAGTTGCTGGAACAATCTCAGTTCACTTCCTAACAATTCTGATACATTCATGTGCACTTACATCATTCCCATGATTTTCCTTTCTTCAGTTGTTCATAAGGAGATCAAGCAGTAATGAAAACAAGGTCAAGGAGGGGAGTTATGAAAAGCATGTCCTTCACATCTAGGGCAGTCAGCCAAGTATGAGCAGACCCCGTGGCAGTGTCACCATCTCAACAATGTTTGGAACTGCAGCAGTTGAAGTTGCAGCAAAAAACTGTTGATAATTCATGATGAAATACCACTGTTGGTTTGTTTATTGGCCACACAGGTGAATTATAAGGCAAGTGATGCCTCTTTTTTCCAAATCTGTCGCCACCCAGTCCTCATGAGTGCTACTGTTGGTAGGGGGCATTCCTTTACATTCATGAACTTGGAAGAGGGCAGTGGTATTGATGTTTTTAATAGGCTGATAAGTTTTGCAGACCCTGAACTATCCCACATTCTTTCAGATTTCATTTCTATCTCTGGCAACCCAGTTGCCTTTTGTTGCAAAACTCCAGAGAGTTCCACCTGGGAGTTTCTAGATTTGACCATAAAGTAGGTAGAGTCCTAAAATATTTGTTTGGGCAGCACTCACAAGCACTTTAACCTTAGTCAATAATCTAAGATAAGTTTTATTAAGAGATATTTATTAAGAGACAGAATGTTAAAGAGTTGAAACGTGCAGACTTTGTGGCAAACACATGCTCAGACACATGTAATGCCACAGGCATTCCTGGACAAGTGACCATCAAGTCAAGAGATAGTCAGGAGTGGAGATCTGAGGTCAAACAGGCAGGAAAATGTGGCTGCCTTAGCTCATGGCATGGTTCCTGCTCACAGGAGAGTGAACCTGACAGAGGGCTGCCAGGATTACCGAGAACAAGAAACATCTGACATGAGGAAATGCTCAGAGATCTGGGTTTATTCTAACTAAAAAACAGGATGGGATTGGTTGTGGCATCCTTTTTCTTCATTGAATTGCCTGATGGAGGGAGATTCCATACTCTTCTCAGAGGTGCACAATGGAAGGATGAGATGTTATGGACAAAAGTTGCATGAAAGAAAGGTTAGATATAGGAATTAGATCCTAAACTCTCCCCCCTTTTTTCACCATAAAGAGCCTCAAACTCTAGGGGAGAGTCCCAAAGAGGTTGTGAGATTTCTATCCTTGAAGTACTAAAAACTCAGCTGGATGTGGCCCAGCACAGGCAGCTCTAAGTTGGTCCTGCTTTGAGGGGTGGTTGGAGCAGAGATCTCCAGAGATTCCTTGTATATTTTTTATTTTACTGTTTTAAGATACAGGCTAAGCCTCTCCACTTCTGATCTTCTGACATCTTCCCTCAGTTCCTTCCCATTAGTGCAGCAGAGCAGAAAAATTCTTCTCTGGCCTTTGGGGAATAGTCCTGGAGCAGCTGAGTGTGATGTAGTACAAAAGATTGTCAAGACAGAACCCAAGTTTCTCTAGTGGGGGATTCAAACTGGGAACACCTTGTTCAGCAGAGTTTCTTGTAGTTGGATATTTGTGTTCTTTGGACTTTTTCCGCGGTGCATTTACAAGTAGCAAAGCAGCGACTGTCTCGGGCTGCTTTGAGGAATGTGTTCTGGCAGTTGTGGGGGACTGCATTCAGCAGGTGAAGCAATCCAAGTCTTCCAAAGGTAGGTACAAGCAAAGCAGTCACTGTTGTGCAGTGTCCATACAGGAAAGTAGAACATGCATGGAGAAATTGAAAAGACAAGCAGAAACTCAGTCCATTTCCTAAATACTGCAAGGAATTTGTAGAGGTGGAAGTACATGGGGGTTAGAAAGTTGCCTACAGCATGACTCAGTGGTAGCAGAAGGGCACCAGAGCACAAGAAATAAAGAACTACTGTTTTTCTTACAGCAACATTCTGCTGTCCAGCTCCATGTCATACATTATTGCTTAGTGCAGCCTCATCTCAGAAAAACTTTCAATGTCTTGCAAGGGAAAAGCTATTGAAGAAAGAGGGTTTGCTGGAGACCCAGCTGCTGGTGGGGCAGACTGCAGGGCACAGAAACCAAATCTCTGGCCTATATAGGATGTGCTCTGCAGGGCTGGATTCAGCTCACCTTGGCCACAAAGCAGAAGAGATGACACAAGCCAAGGGCTGGGAAGAGATTTGAAGATCTACACAGGTGCATATTTCACTATGCAAAGAAAAACAGCAATTGTCCATCTGCATAATCAAACACAGCATCCAGAAAATGGCATGAGATAGAGCAGCAAAGGAGCTGTTGTTGGGGTTGTGGAACTCTTTCCAGTGGGGGCTCAGCACATGGCAAGATGTTGTTCAGGTCCCATTCCCACTAGGGAAGTGCATCCTGATTCCAGGAATAGCACTGTGTATGTATTTATTGGGAAAAACAAACCCAGCCAACGTGCATCGTCCAATCCCAGGCTGTTGAATGAACTAATTTCCAAGAAATGCCTGAGGGAAGAAGCCACGTGGGTAATTTCCTTTGCAAAGGGCAGTAAGTGCCTCTTACCAATCCAAGTTCCACGTCTGCCATCCTGATACAAAAGGTAGAGTGGGTCAGTGAAGGCCCAAACAGGGCCATATTCAGGGCCAGGCTTCAGCTTTAATGAAAGAGAAGCAGCTCTGCATTCCAGAGGTATTGCCAAAACCAGCCTGTGTTTTAATTTATAAGATATAAAAAGAAACATTAACTGGACAACAACTTACCACCATGCAGAACAGCTTGAGCTCACATGGTTAATTGGGTGCATGTTTAATTGTGTAGCCTAAATATCCCCTGGCGATGTGGAATGCCACTGGAAAATGCAGATGTTTGGAGCCCTGCTGTTCATGGTCAGGACTTTTCAAGGGTAACATGTAATGCATTATTGACCAGTTGATTTAATGGAGAGGTTACAATTTGCAAGCCCTAACAGAAGTGTGCTGTAAATGATTTGGTTTAAAATCCATTCTGCAGAGTGGTGCTGATGTGATTTTCATTTGCAACTGATTGTTAATTAGGCCATGCTTGACAGGCATTTCCTATTTATTTGGGCCTTGTTTGGTGAAGGGTGTGCATGTGTGTGTGAGCTACTGTTTTTCTGCAGGTTCATTTGCAATCATTTCACAGCCTGCTACTGCCACAGGGTGCTGCTGGAGAAACAGTGCCCCCACCACCTGTCCTGTGTGCCCTTCACTTTTCCTGGTTGGACACCCCAGGGTCTGATAATGACACTTTATGTGCCAGCTTTCATGACATGCTGATGATTTCAGTGGAAGCAGAAGCCTGTAGGAGACAGAACGAGGAGTTGCTACAGGGATGTGGGAGCACAAGGAGGGATGGATGGTGCACCAGGGGAACCACTACAAGTGTTACTGCCCCAGGGGCAATGGTGGATGCTAATGGAAAGTGATCAGGAAATGTATCTAGTCCAGAGGTGCCCCTTCAGTTCACTGCAGCCCAGGCATAAAAGCAAGTTGCTAAGTGGTTCCAGTAAGGAAGGAGTGACTATGTAAATATATAAATACTGAAATAAATACATAAACACTGAAGAAGATTGGGAAATGTGAAAAAAATCTGAGGAATTGCTTGAAAATGGTTCTTGTGAGTCCAGGTTAAAGACTGCTAACAAAGGAACTTCTTTGGCATGTTTTGTTTCCTTCATTGATACGTATCTGTGAATCTCTCTAAGGTTTGTATGAATCATGATGGAGTGATGACTGCTCAGGCATGTATTTTGGAAGCATGATGGATTAAATACTTTCTATGGATTCTTCCTGCTGCTGTTGGTCCTGATGTGTTCTGTGTCAGTGGTGTTGTCTGAATGCTAACTCACCCTCTTCTTTTGTCACACTTGTCTTCCTGCAGGCATACATGCTGAAGTCATTTGAAATAAATGGCCTGCCCAAGGCGGTCCCTTTAAGTTTGCCTTACCAAGACTTCAGAAAAGATATGTGCAACTACTGGGAAAAGCCTAAGTTATCCCAGCGGATAAAGAAAGTTGATTTTTCAAATATTGTCTTGACTGCTCCTTGCAAACCTCTTGAACCTTATAAGGAAATGAATGGAAAAGAGGAGGAGGAGGAGGAAGAAGAGGAGGAAGACTATGAGGAGGAGGAAGATGAGCAGGATGAGGGGGAGGAGGAAGAGGAGGGCAATGAGATTGACATGCACAGTGATTCCAGCAGCGACCTGAGTCAGAAGAGCACGGAGCGCAGCCAGGAGTGCGCACCATCCACGCTCCTGGCTGATGACCAGAAGGGGTCCAAGGGTCGAGCATCCACTGCTGATGGGGACCTGGAGCTGGAGGAAGGCTCAAAAACTTTAGTGCTGTTTTCACCAGGTGATCTGAAAAAGTCTCCGGTGGCTGCAGACTTACCTCCAGAAGTCGATCTAGGCACTCTTGCTGCACTGACACCTCAGAGCGAGCGGCCGCAGCCCATGGGGAGCCAGCTGGATGTGTCTGAGCCAGGGACCCTGTCCTCGGTCCTTAAATCGGAACCAAAGCCTCCCGTGGCAGTGGCTACAGCTTCCTCCCCGTTCACCAAAGTCGAGCGCACGTTCGTTCACATTGCTGAGAAGACCCACCTGAACGTGATGTCTTCCAGCGGGCAGCTGATGCGGCACGAGGAGTACTGCCCCCCGGGGCAATTCGAGGAGGTCATCATCGAGGAGGAGCTGGAGGACAACCTGGTGCTGGTGGAGAATGGAAGCATTCATTCCGGGCTGGAAGGGGCAGAGACGGAGAGCTGCGCTCTTTCGGCCAATCACGTCGAAACCACCTCAGAGACTGTGGGGGAGCAGCCGGCCCTTCCCAACGGCATGCCAAAGCTTCCCGAGGACAAGCCGGAGCTCTCCGGCAAAGCGGTGCTCTCGCTGGATTTGGAAGAGCCTGACAAGGTGGCTACAAGGGAGCCTGGCCTCGAGAAGGCAGCATCAGCCACAGAACACCTGAAGCGAGCAGAGACCCTGCTCGAGACGCCACAGCAGGGCCCCAGGAGGCCGCTGGGCCCCCGGTACAGAAGTCGGATACCCATTTTGTTCTCTGAGGAGGACACTGGCTCAGACCTTTCAACTTCACTCTCAGCCAAAGAAAGGCTTTATAAGAGGGCAAAGCAACCCGACCTGGCTCGCCTGGTGATGGAGAAGAGACAGAGCCGCCTCCTCCGGCTGGCCTCAGGGGCCTCCTCCTCGGCCTCCTCCAGCGACGAGCGGCGGCGAGCCTCCGAAACGCTGTCAGCCACCGGTTCTGAGGAGGACACCCACGACTCTGATGACTCCATCCCACGGAAGGGAGAGAAGAAGGCTGCGCTGCTGGGGAGAGAAGACAGAGCCATAAGCACAAGGAGCAGAATTCCTCGTCCCATCGTGCCGGTGAAAACGCCGCTGGAGGTGGCGAGGTCGGAGAGCTCCGTGGCCGCTGCGATGGCAGGGCTGGGCAGCTCCCCACAGGATGCAGCTGCTGCCTGCAGGTAAGAACAAAATGGTGAGAAATGCAGAGAGCTGGGCTTGTTGAGGAGACACAGCCAGGGCTTTGCTCACCTCCCATGACTTCATCCTTTACTCAGCTTGAATGCATAGTCCATCCTTGCTTCCTACAGTCATTTCAGCCCACAGGTGTGTGAAATACTCACCTCTCTGTCTTCTTTTTTTGAAGCCTCTGTTTGCTTGCCCTGGCTTTGAGACCTTTCCTTTGACAAGCCCTTTCACTTGGTCTGATAATAGCAGATGCCCCTGGTGTTGTACTCTCTGTTTGACAGCACAGCCATGACTCTGCAGGGAGACCTGGCCTCCTGGCCTGGCTATTGTGATTAGAGCTGCCAGCTGGAATTGCCTCCGTTGGTTTGTCTTCCATCACAGTTACCATCAGAGGCCAACTGGTGCAATCCAACTCATGCCCACATTCCCAAATTATATCTCCTGCCTTGGAAGAGGTTGCTGCATCCATTCTGCATGTTAAGAAAAGTCCCAGATACCATCCCTGTGTGTTGACTCAGAGAATGCTGGAGGATCAAGGCAAACACTTAGCAGTTAACTGCGTTGAGTTACAGGATGGTGTTCAGACTGGTGCCCCATCTGGTTCACAGTGTAGGTCCTGCCATCCTGGTGCTGGAGACTAATTGTAATTGCCTGGTAACATTCATGCCCAAGAGTCCCTTGCAAAATTCCCTTTCATCCTCCCTCTTCTTGCTTTTCTTTCTCTGCAGGCTTCAGACACAGAGAGCAGCTGGAAGTGTGCCATATGAGGGCCGAACAACACAGGTACAAAGTCGGCTTCCTTCGTCGCCGAGTTCCACTTCTCTTCCTCCACGGAGCAGCTCGCAGAGGTCCAGTGGTGCATCCCCTCGGAGCCCTGTCCTTCCTTCCAGGAACCCCAGTACTTCCCCCAGAAGCCAGCTGTTGCCTCGGAGGGAAAGTCCTTCTCCCTGCCGACAGCATAAACCAGGGACTGCTCCTCAGCGAGTTCCTCCTTCCCCCCGACCTCAGCCCTCAGCTCAGGCCCCAGCATCTACAGGAGATTCCCTGCCATCTCCTGGCATGGCCAAAAAACGACAAAGAGGAAAAACCCAGACTCAAAGTCCAGCAACCAAAGGAAAGCAGGTGTCCCTGGAAAGTAAGGCAGCTGCCAGATAATGACCTTCTTCTGCAAACCCAGCAGACTGGGTAACTTCTGCATATAGTATACACTTGAGATGCTGCAGCACAGCCTTCCATGCTGGACCCACGAGTGTATAGCAGTAGCTGTACTTGAATGCTTCACCCACTCTCACCCCACACCGCAATCAGCTCCCACGGGCCTGGCAGCCCGGAGCCACGGAGCCTTTTCAAGGGAGACACCCAGCCCGCAGCTCACGCTTGCTAATGCACAGCACCAAACCGTGACCCAGGCAGCCTGCCCAGTGCCTGACCTGCCTCCCTCCCCAGGGATTCTCCTCCTGTTAGCAATACCAGTCCTCAACACCGACTCCAGCTGCGGAAAGAGGAGCAGAGGCGACAAGAGCAAGGCCTGCTAAAGAGGAAGGCTCCTGTTCTGCAGGCAGCTCCTTCCTTTCTCCTCGCTGGGAAAACACCAGCCTTGGTCTCCACCATCTCCCTGAGTGTTGGCTCACCTCCCACCACCTGTGTTAGCAAGGGATTGCCACTAGCTTATTCAAGAAGGATGGATGCATCCTTGTGTGCTGAGATAAGAGAAGGGGTAAGGAGGAGAGGGCTCTTCTCTCCTTTCCAGAGATGCCTCTACAGGTGGGAATTAGGAGGCAGTTCTTGCTGGATGCTCCTACCTGTTCCAGTATGTCCCACAGATGAGGTCTGGCACTGCTTCTCAGATACTGCTGTTGTTTCAGCAGATGCCTGTGTGGTGGGCACTTAGGTGGAAGTAGGGATGTGTTGGCAGCTTGCTGGGAAATCAAAAGCTCTTGCTAATTAATGTAGAAGGGAGCACACTGCAGCCACTTCTGTCACAAATACCAAACTGTGATCTGTGGACATCACATCCCCCAGCACGGGTGGTTCCTTTCAGCCTGGGCGAGGTTGGTGCCACAGACCTGTATTCCACCAAACACAGCTCCATCGTGAGGGTGTGAATAGTCACTGGATGCCTTTAGCCTGGGTGCCCCTTGCACCTGAATTCCTTGTGTTTTATTGTCACGCTCTTGGTGTTTGTGAATTTTGGCACTGTGGTTGAAAGTTCCCCTACACGGCAGGGTGGGAAATTATTATCCCGTAGTATACCCAAAACCTGCTGCTTTGCAATGAGAGGTTTGCTGGCATGCCATGGCCATGTGCATTTCTATCTGAGGGGACAGTGGGTTGAGTGGCAGAGGTGGGGTTTATGTCTTTTCCTTGGTGCTCACCTCTGCCATGCATTGAGGATGAACAATGTGAACGTAAAAGCAACAGCTGTGCTCTTCAAGTAATTATCTGAGCATAAGCTTAACACTCAGCTAGAGCAAAATCAACCAGCTGTTTAGCCCCCAGACTAATTAGGAAGGCTTGAAAGTGAAAGCAAGGAGGACTGGTACCTGTCTGATCTTGATGAGATCTTGAAGTAGACAAAATTCTCCCCATGCTTCACAGGAGAAAACATTCCAGACCCAAATACTTTGTGCTTCACACCATTGTCATGCCTAAAAGAGATATTGCATGAGGCAGAACAAAACAGCTGCTCTGTACACCTATTCCTGCAGTTGCAACTACCTGCAAATTTACTATTTGCAGATAACAAAGCTTGACAGAGGAATCTGAACAGTAATAACCTTGATTCATTTGAACATGAATGCAAACAGTCACACACTGATGGCCATCAAGTTCAAGGAATCCTGAAGCTGCTCATATCTACAGGATTCCTGGAAAGGAGTATGAGAGCTGTGACAGGGTGTCTGGGAGAAAAGGGTACTCCTTGCACATCTGAACAGGGAAATGTGTAGAAACAGGAGACAGGAATTACCTCTTCATATGACAGTCTCAGTGTTGCCAACATTAAGAATTCATTTCACCCAGCTCAAAGTGTTTTCCATTGATGTGGTTCACCCTGGTCGAGTAAGCAGCAGCTTAATCTGAAAAGATGCCTTCATCTTTGCAGAGCAGCACTGGGAACTGAGAGGGAGCTCAGGCTGTGCTCTGATGGACTGAGCTGATGTTGCCATCAAAAGTAACATCCCTCCAAGTTCCAGCTGTTTTGTTGCACAGTTCCATCACATTCACAGTGCAGCAGCTATTTGGAAATGGCTGGAAATGCTGATCCAGCACGACACGAACTGCTCTGATTCACCAGTTTATGTTTCATCTGGTTCATTTCATCACTCTGGTTCACCATTTGGTCACACAACAGAAGAAGGACACACAGAGACTGTGACCACTTCTTCTGGTGGCACTGTAACTTTCTCTGAGTTTGAAGTGTGGGTCAGACTAGAACCTAAGTATGTGCTGCAGGTTTAGAAAATAGAAAACAGAATAAACTCAAAGACATATTCTTTCCATAAATATAAATCATAATGGGACTCCTATTAATTTCTTGAAGGTCTATTAATTTTAGAGCGCTCAGATGGTAAGTCTTGGTTGTGAATCCTTTACCAGCTGGTCTATCCAGGTCTTAATGCACATGCCAAAAATGACATTGAAAGAGCTTTGAAAGAGGACTACAGGACTATTAACAGGGTTAGCAAACCTGCCTCATCATGGGAGGCCAATAAAGCACAATCAGTGTATTTGTTCAGGAAAAAGTTTAAAGGACAGTTTTCTGTGGCCCAATGTCAGAAAGGAAGCTCCAGGGCAGACACAAGGCTGGGTTGGACAGGGCCCAGAGCATCCTGGTCTAGTGGAAGGTGTCCTTGCCCATAGCAGGGAGCTGAAACTGGGTGATCTTTAAGGTCCCTTCCAACCCAAACCATTCTATGGTTCTGTGGTTCTGTGGTCTTCCTCTGGCACATGGAAAGCAGGGGAGTCAGAACAGCCAAGAACAGCAGATGAAGAAATCAAGCAGACTTTTAATTGTGAAGCAACCATTCAGTGAAGTCTTTCACAGGACTATGGGGACTTTCTTATTAAAAGGTTTCTGTGAAACTGAGCTGTCTTCTACAAGGTCTATCTACCATGACCCAACCACAAGAAGCAGGTAGGATTCTGGTGACACCAAGGTATCATCTCTGTCAGTGGTGCAGCAGATTCCTGGTCCCACGAGGATACATGCCAAAGCTGTATATATACTGGAGAGCCACCTGGCAGGTCCCACAGGTTTAAGAAAGCAAGGGAAAGATGGCCAGCACAGAAAATAAAAGCTGTTGCCAGTGTTGTTTGACAGAGCTAGGCTGGAGGTGCAGCTGGGTCTGTAGAGATCTGAGACCAGCATGAGTCATCTCTCCTCGTGGTTGTGCTACCAGACTCCCTGCTCCTGCACAGCCCTGCTTCCCAGCTGTCCCTGGAATGAAGAGCAGCAGGAGAGTGCATCAACAGCATGGTGGGCCCCAGGTCATGTCCTCCTGGATGGAGGTGCACCTGTCCAGGGGAGCAGCACACACAGAATTTCCTCTGGGTCCTCTCTTCTTCTGCTGCCCTGCAGGAAAGTTGAAAGGGCACTGCCATAGCTGGAGCAAACAGAGGAGAACATGTCTGGGGACAAGAAGGAATGAGGCCTGTGATGTTAGGGAGAAGTTAGGTGGTTGAGGAATGCCAGAGGATCTAGTCTGGCATCACAGGACACGATGGGCTGTCACCTCCCAGAAAGGTGGCAGAGGCAAGACCCTGTTGCTCTCTGCTATGAGTCTCATGCAAGCTCTGCCAAGCTTGAGGGCACGGGGCTGCTCAGGCACTGCTGGGCGTGTGTGGCTGTGTTCTTTGCAGGTGATTTTGCCCCTGTGTGTTTTGAGGGAACTCCTGGGACATGCCACCACTGTTCCTTCATCTGTGTGTTCATCTGCATGGGTAGGGAGAGACACATCTTGTTCATCTGTGTTGGGAGTACAAGAGTCTTTGGGACTGCCTGGTGTCGTGCTGAGTCCTCACTCTGCAGGAGCCTTGCCCACCAGCTGAGATGGTATCCTGGCTGGTGAGAAGCAGCCAGTGGCTGCTGGCTGGCCAGGAGCTGCCTGCAAAGAAGCATGGATACAGGGAGGATGTGCCACGTGGGCAATCTGAAAGGCAGTTCTCAGCACTAAGCCAGTGCAGCAATGGATTGTATGAGCAGAGGGAGAAGAAGGACAGATGGCACCAGTCAGACTGATACTGTGGAGAGGCTCAAACACACGGGTGGATGGAGCTGCTTTACTGATCTGTCTGGTTGGCAGGACAGGCACTTCTGTTTGCCTTGGTCCAAAAGGTGTTCTGGTAGCAAATATCTCTGGGTCAGTTGTGCTTGGAATCAGTGACAGGCAGGAGACTTTGCTTGCCCTTTTTTAAGTAAAGAATATTATAATATATATATATTATTACAACAATATAAGTAGTGACCATTATATATAGTAACTAAAGGTTAAAAAGGATCCTGCTACCTTCAGAGAAGTCTCATCTTTGATTTCAGATGTGTGCAGGGCTGACTGCTGTGTGCAGTGAATGTGGATGGGGGAACAGGATACCACTCTACCAAAGTGCATGTCAGCTGTGAGGCTCCAGCTGCCTGAGCACAAACCAGGGCTGAAACACGCCAGCCTGGGTGGCTGACAGCTGTCCTGCTTGCCACCAGACCTGCAACAGCTGCTGGACTGACACACAGCTCTGTGGGGCATGGATCAGCATCTGGAGAATCGCTCTTCACGTGGCTGCCCCTGGCTAACACAAGCACTGAGAGTTTGGTGGTGAAACGTTTTGATCCAAAGCAGGTTGTGTTGGGGCAAGAAAATCCTTCACATTTCTCCTTTCCAACACAGAGGTGTTTCCTCACTGTAGATCCTGTGTAAGAAGATGATCACTGATAGCCTGGGCAGCTCCAGTAGCATCTCAGTGTTCCCTCAGCACACTGCTTTCTTCTCTGTAGAGTTTATTGACCCACAACTATTCCACATGCACTCACACCAATGCCCACCTAAGGCCTTGCCCCACACATCAGTCACCTGCAGTTAAATTAATCCTGTGAACACAGTAAAAGTCCCATTGTGGACATAATGAGTTCATTATCAAATGAGTTTCTTCTGGCTGAACTGAAATATGCCCGTGCCCCAGCAGTGCTAGGCTGGTTTGACAAAGTCCACAGGGACCACCTGAGAGTTTGCAAGCACCCTTGGCCAGCTACTCCTGCACCTCCACATGAGGAACAGAGCTTGGGCTGCTGTTCAGGCCCTTTCCTTGTGTGGCATGTGCCTGTAACTGGGCTGCTGGGTGGGAGCCCATGGCTCACCGTGTGCTGGCTCCCAAGGTCCTCTGCAGAAGCCCCAGTGGCTGTGCTCTCCAGCAGCAGCAGATGCTGCATTCCAAGGGGCTGGGACTATGCTGGCAGTGGCAGCAGAGCCACCTGATGTTAAGACCTCCATGAGCATTGGGGTTGGTAGTTTTGCAAGGCCAGGGAATAGCTCTGTATGCAGGCTGAGCTGTGATCCCAAGTACAGCCAGAATCCCAGGAAATGACAGTGATTTATACACCATCACTCTCCTGTCACTTCATTCCTAATGTAGCTCCTCCAGCAAATCTTGTCTTCAAAGTAACTGTGTGTTTCCTCCAGGTTAGTCCCTTTTTGCCTGGGGGGTTGAAGCCCTCCTGGATTCTGCAGAGCCTGAAGCAGACTTGGCCATCAACCTGTGCAGCAGGCCCTGCCCCACACAGGTCATAAGGAGGAACACTATCCCTTTTATTTCTGGAGCTGCAAACGGCTGGAAAGCAGGTTTAAAGTAAACACTGATGCCCTCTGTGCTGAAAGGAGGAAGGGAGCTACCAAAGCAAATCCAGAGCTGGGTTCCTTGTAGGGACCAAGATAATAATTTCTCCTGCTCTTAGCTCCTGAACCAGAGGGGCCTCAGGGGTGAGAGCTCTGCTTTGGTGAAGATACTGCAGGACTGGTGTCAGCATGGTGCTCCTCAGTGGCTGCTCTGCCTCTGGTTTGGCCCATGTTGCCCTGCCTGGAGCACAGGGAGCTCTGGTACAGGTTCCCTGGAGGAGGCTGGGGCTGATGTTTCCTCGGGAACGTACAGCACAGGCTCAGGACCATCCCTGCAGAGGGTGGGATGAGCTCTGCAGGACGTGGGGTACCCCTGGGTGTGAAACCAGTGTCAGCAGGACTGCTGTGCTCTGGGACCTGCTGCTTCTTCTCCAGCCAGGAATTGGAGCTGGAAACACAGAAGATTTTCTATATCTCCTTTTAACACAATAGCATGTGACTCTACACTCAGACGTTCTACCTGGCGCACCAACGTTTTCCTTCGCCTCTGGCACACTCTGGAGACAGGACTTCTGCTCCCTGGTACTGCCTGCCTGGAAATGTGACTGAATCCCAAGGCTAAATCTCTCTACATATCTTCTTTGCATTCTTTAGGAAAGCAGCTGGAGAATGTTTACACACTGCAAACAGAATGTAGGACTCCGACTGAGGAACCACAATCTGGTTCAACTGCATGGCAAATTTCTTGGCCATAAAATCTGGCATGCATCACAGAAGCCCTGTCTGTGTACAGACCCACCTGGCATTTGTCTTAATTTCAGATCACATCTTAAAAAAAAATAAACGATTATGCCATTTCTTGTTCATATCAGACACAGTTGTCATTAGATTTGTTATTAAAAGGGGATTCTGGATCATGCCATTAAAAGCCTGTCTACCTTTTCATTGGTGTCTTCTCCCATTTATTGGTGTTGCAAGACATGTTCCTTCACCATGAACCTTGTTTACGCAGCAGGCTCAGCCATCCACTCCCAAAACGGCACTTGTCAGAGAGAAAAGCCTGCTTTTTTGACAACAATAAAATCAAAAAAATATGCTTTGCAAAGTCTAGATGACACAGTTAAGATGCCAGATTTGTAGACATGTTGGACCTGCACATTAATATGTGGGAAGTGGAGCAAAACCAAACCAATAACTTGGCATGGTTTGACTTTCAATAGTCTCTGACTATCTGATGTTTAAGCTGAGGACAGTTTTTATAATATTCCTTTTACCATGCTTAAGTTACCTCATGCCTATGGTGTGCAGGCCACATCTAGGGTGTGTAGTAAGAGTTTAGTGCCCAGCTTTAGGAGGGAGTGGTGGAAGAGGGAACAGAAAAGAATAAAAAATCCTGGTCCCTTAGAAAGTTATTCCTGTGATGACAGATTTTATTCTTTCTCCTATAGCCAAAAGAAAACACATTTGACTCCAGTGTAGAATCCAAAATGATAAAAATAAACACTGGGACATAAAAGCTCCTAAAAGTCTATGTCAGGAAGAGGCAGATGAAACTTAAAGCTGAGCGCCATAAACTGGGAAATTGAGAAGCATTTCAGAACTGTGTGGATCAGCTGCTAGCAGGGAGTTTGGCAGAGGGGCTTCATCATCACCCCTGGATGGCAAAATAGTTTCTCTGGAAGGCAGGTTTGTCAGGAACAACGTGCTGGATTCAGTCTCTGCCTTTGTCAAATGAGAAGACAAGTAGAGGTAGAGACTAAAGCAGGCTGCTCATGTTGGAACAGCCTCACAAAATAGGAAAAGACAGGTTTGCAGGAGGAGGCAGAATCTTTACTCAGAGCAGCTTTTGTTACAAAAATAAAAAAGCCAAAGAAAACTGGAAAGCCAAAGAAACTGCTGGGCTCAGGGATGTTCCTCCTGCAATCACCTTGAGGTATTTCAAGAGAAGAAAAGCCCCAGTGCAGACAAGGCAAGCCACAGGAGTGCCTTAACACTGCAGTGGAAGCCTGCACTGCAAGGAAATGCTTGTTATTCCCAGCCTTGCATTCATCCTCTCTCTAATGTCAGAGGGAGGCTGCCATGGAGCAGCCATGGGGCTCTGGAGTCAGCTGGACCCAAGGACCCTTTCTCATGCCAGTGAGAAAAAGTCCTTCAAGCCTGTAGCTTCAAGGAAGCTGCCAAAAGTTCCTTGAAGTTGCACAGAGTACCTGGAGACCATGAGAAACTTAGAGCATCCACACAGGTTTCATCAAGTACAAAAAATATCTAAAAACAATAACACAATTGAGTCCAGCTGTTTGAATTCACTAATTAATGTTTGAAACAGAGGTAAAGCCTCAGATTTAAAATAAGTGGTTAAACAAGCCCAAAACCTTGTGGTTTAATGTCCATAGGCTCATAGGATAATCCAGGCTGGACGTGACTTCTAATAGGACATTGGAATTTTAACTTCAAAGCATAAATGTAAATTGCAAATTGTCAATAAGCAACCAGTTTGGGACACTGCATCTCATAGGAGTAGTCACAAAAACTGCATCCTCAAACAAGGAATAGGTTGGAGGCAAGAAGATCATCTGGAAAGTAATACCAGATGCCCTACTCTCTTTGTCATGTGTCTTGTTAATGTTGGAGACGGAGTATTGAGTCTCTTAATGATTCAGAGGAAGCCTGAGTCAGTTCCTGTATTGCTGAATCTGCAAAATGCAAAGGATCCCCATTCAAACACAGGTCAGAAAAGTCAAAACTGGTCTTGGTCACCCAAGATAGCAGCTAGGAGATGCTTAGATTAAATGAGAAACATGGTGGAACAAGATAATTAGTAGAGGAAGGTGATCAGTGAAGGGAGACAGAGAAGTTCTAGCACTGGAGGTGTGGTGCTGTATGGAGAAGGCAGCTTCCCTGGACACTCTGCAGCTTTTCTTTACTCCTTCTGGGGAGGAACCCATTGGGCACGGGAGGAAATGCAGGACAGAGCTGTGGAGCTTTTGGGACCTGACAAGCACATGGCCACACTGGCAGAGAAACAGAAACACTGCCAAGGTGAGCACTGGACCTTGCACCACCCACCCAGTAATTCCCTACAAATCACTCTCACCATCTCCCCATCTGTACTTTCACTGCAAGTGTGTGACTGTGTGTATTGTCACTCCCACACCTTACTGTCTGCACAGGCTTTCCAAAAACACTCTTCCAGCCAGTGCTCCAAGCTCCCCATGCAGCATTCCCTGAGTTTTGATGTAAAGCCCTGGCCCTTTGGGGAATCAGGGCCCCAAGGGCACTACTGGCTGTTACTGCCCTGCACCTGCCACCAAGCACCTTCTGCTTCTGGCCCAGGACCTCATTTCTGCTCAGGACTGTGTCTCCCATCCATCTGAGCTGTGTCAGACACGTTCCTGCCTCCTGCCCTGGCTGCTGCGTGGATCTTGCTTTGTCTTCAGCCCTTCTCCTGCTCCACACCAGGCTCTCTGGAGGAACTCTGATTCCGGTTCATCCTCTCGCTGTGTCTGGGGCTGTACATTGGCTCTGTCCCACCCCTGGCGCTGCCAGCCATGCTGAGACTCTGGCTCTGTGCCCAGTAGAGGAGGACATGGCCAGTCCTGTAGTCTTCCCAGCTCCTGGGTCATCATTCCCTGCTCATGCTGCTCCCTGAACCAGTGGGTTTGCTTTGAGTTCCCTGGCAATGTTTTACTTCAAACAGGATTATCCTAAGTGAGAGTGATTTAATCAGATGGAATCTCACCCCTGAAAACATGTGATCCTCTCTAGACTTCCTATTCCTGCTGTGTCTTTCTTTCCCTGACTGGAGGAGGAGTTTGGACTTGCCCTTTCCTCAGTAAAATGCAGCAAAATAATTTGGGCTGAATCTCTGCCCTGCTCCAGTTTCCCAACAGCACCAGTTAGAGGAAAATGACACTAGATTAGTTCCATGAGATAGGGAAAGGGATAAGAAGGGGCATGAGACAGGTCTGGAGGCTCTTTTTGGGAAGCAGGGAGCATAAAAGTGCTGGCTGTGGATCCATTATCACACACAGCAGACAACATGGAAGTGGCTCGTGTCCTTTCACACTAAGGTAGAATCAACATTGTATTTTTGACAGGTAAGAAAAGAACCTTTGGCCAGACCCAGTCTACTTGCAAAAACAGTTGTCATTTGTGCAGTCGAGTAAAGCAGGTGCACACAAGAGAGCTGCAAGCAATGGAAAGCAGAGTCTTGTTAACGTGGCACCCAGTCAGAAGGGCATAAACTCCCTTTCTTCTATGACCAAACAAAGATCTTCAGGACCCCCAGGACCTCTTTGTTGGCTGCACCTTCTCTTTCTCCAACTGAGCTACAAAATCTGGTGTGCACACATCCTGCCAAGAGCATTTGGAGACGCTGCTGCAGCACAGTGCACCTTAGACTGACACTGCAGGAATCCTCAGCTGGCACTGCCAGCTCTGTGGATCTCCCTGTCCAAACTGCCTTTACAAATTAGAGAAAAAATGGAGCCTCCCTCTGTGTGTCACATCGCCCTCCTGCAGGCGTCAGAGCCTGCACTGAGCTGCAGTGAGAAGGGGACTCTTCTGCCCTCTAACAGCAAGTCCAGCTCAGCAGCTCTGATGCACACAATTTTCATGGCACTGAGATGTAACTTGGACAGAACAGAGAAAATCATCATTCAAGCTCCAGCCTGCAAGCACTGATCAGATCTCCAGCTGCTCTGCAGCAGTTGAGATGCCTGAGGGGTGGCTCCAGTTGCTAAAGGAGCAAATCAGCTCCTTCACTCCTGACACCATCCAGGCTATTGCAGCTCCATAGAAGGTGTTAGGAAATTGCTGCTGGAAACAGAAAAGCTAACACCTTAGTGACCAAGAAATTTAATACTCCACCCCTCTCAACAAGTAGTTGGCCTCCTGAAAAGTTCAGAAAGAAATATTGCAGAAGAAAGTGTGAAGTAAAAAGTAAACTCTTCCTTTCAGCATTATGTGTGACAGCAGCAGCACAGGAGTCTGACTGCTCTCACCAGGCATGTTCAAGCTGTTTGAGCCAGGTCTAATTAACCAAGTTGTTAATTCAGTCAAGTCAGTCACAGACCTTGCACATGTGTTGGCCATTAACTAAAGCTGGTGACTGGTTAAAGGAGCACATTTGGGTTAGAGAAATAGAGCAATGTACATTTTAAGGAATGCAGTACGTGCAGCAGAGCCCAGGGAGCTGCAGAACAATGATCCATAATCTCATTTCTGATGGGGAGGCTGGATCTGTTTGCAGTTTAAATATTCAGCAGCACATCAATTAGTTTCTCTCCCTTGCTCTTAGAAGACTGGTGATGAAAAAAATAATTTGTCCTTTAGTTCAACTTCAGTTTAAACTGTAACCCTGGAGGAGCATTGTCAGGTGTCCCTACTTCACTCCTGTGTGCTTCCTTTGTGCCTGTCCCGGGATGGACACTGAAATGGCTCATACCATGGCACTGGGGCAGCACATTAGTGAAACATGGGTGGCCAGGTATGCTGCTGAAACGGGAAAAGGTCTCTTAAGGTCAGAGATCGTGATGTTATTCTGCTCTGTGCCCTCGCAGCACTCAGTGTCTGGGCGACACACAGTCTGGGCCATCAGCCACAGCAGGAGCCCTGTGAAAAGCTCTTTTGCATCTCCTCATCCCTACCTGCTGCTCTACAGCCCCTTGTCCCCAGCCCTTGGCTGCAGGGCAAGGCAGTGCAGGCAGGCAGCTCCTGGCAGCACCTGGCAGTCAGCACCACTTCCAACATTCCCTGAGCCCATAGTCTTGTTGTGCTTGCATCCCAACACCAAAAAACCCTGTTTTCATGGTGAATGGCCAAACTGGAGCTGCTTTAAAGCAGAGCATGTCCCGGGGCAACAGCTTGGAGAAAGATTGGAGATGATGTATCAGCACCTACCAACACTCAAGAGTGCAGGG